GGGTATGGGGGGCAGGTGACAGCCAGGCTCTGGAGCTTCCTAGCTGTGTGACCTTGGGCAAGTCACTTCACCTCTCTGTGCCTCAGTTTCCTCATCTGGAAAATGGGGGTGACCATGGCACCCAGCTCATAGGGCTATTAGGGAGGTAAAGCAAGTAACGCTTGTGGAGGGCTTAGAGCAACACCTTCCAAAGTCCCCACCTTTGCCCGTCACATGCTCCCGCAGGAAGCCTGGCTAACGTAACATGACACCCCACCGCTATACAAAATATACATGTCATGCAGTTCAACTTGGACCCCCTCAATGTATTAAAATTTACAAAATAGGAATTAAAAATTTTAAAAAGCCGGAAAGTATATATTATACCAACACACTCCCAAGCACTGAAAGCCTTCTGGTTGGGGACATCACACGGGTCCTCACGCTGGTGAAAATGTAGCAGCATAATTTAGGGGACTGGGCAGAGGAGCTGGGATTCGCTGCAGAAAAGAAGGGGGCACGGGAGGTGCTGGGAGGCTAGCGGGGGCTTCTCCTCCCACGCTCACGCGAGGAGGGGGAGCGCGTGGAAGAGGCGCCTCCCTAGAAGGGGAGGGTCCCCTGTTGGCCCCCACCTCAGCCTGGGGAAAGAACCGGATCCCAAGAGCAGCAACGGCAGTGACGACCGCCAAAGTGGGGGTCACAGATACTCGCTGAGCTCCTGCCGCGTGCCCGCACCGTGAGCACCAGGGAACCCGGGACAAGCGGTGCAGATGGAACATCAGTGCAATTCACAAAACAAGTGACACTGAGGGGAGGTCGATGGCGGGAAGTGCTTGGCTGAAAGTTAAGCAGGAGATGTGGGGGGATCGGTCTTGAATCAGGTGGTTGGAGATTGCTGAGCACAGGCTTGAAGTTGCGGGAAATGCTCTTGGGCACGTCTGCAGGAAGAGCATTCCAGGCAGGGGGAGCAGCCTATGCAAAGGCCCTGAGGCCCGAGCGTGCCCGTGGTGTTCACTGACTCCTCACACCTCTGGCAGGTGCTAGCTGCTCGATCCCCGTCCACCAGGCAGCTGAGGGAGGCTCTGTCCTGAAGCCACACTGCTAGTAAGAGGCGGAGCCCGGCCTTGAACTTCCACCTGTTCTGCAGGGGAGAGTGGCTCTAGAGGCCAATGGAAACGTGCTTCTCCTCCAAAGTCTCTGGGCCTGTGGGTGGGGCCACCACTGTGCGGGGCGCGCTGGCTCCCAGCCTGGGTCCCACTTGCACCTCTGGCTTCACCGGGACACCTGGCCCTGTGACTGGTCTCTCCCTTCTCTCTCCGATCCCACTTCCTTCCTGGCAGCTTTACAACCTGCCCCCCAAGACCCTGCTGCCCCCCCAGTCTTCCCAAGCCACCCATCTTCTCAGGCTCGATCGGGTGCAGGATGAAGTGCAACCCGTGGGCCCGATGCCCTCGAATGTCACCTGTGCTTCCAGCTGGCGCAAGTCCCCACCTGCCCCGCCGTCACTCCCAGCCCAGACCCTCATTCTTCCCTCCTCCAGGCCTCTCCTCCGCTCCCCCACCCCCACCCCCCCAGAAGGCCCGCGTGCGCCCCCACCGCATCCTCCCCGCGGCACACCGAAACCAGAAGAGAAATCCAATTTGCGTGAAGGGCTTGGGGTGAGTCTGTGTCAAGGCCGCGCCTCCCTCTGCGAGTGGAAGGCCGAGATGCTCCCTCTTGGAGCGAGGAGAAAAGGTTCCTTTGTGCGGGGCCTGGCGAGAGTGTGTCTGCTTAGGGCAGGCTGCAGGCTCCTTTGTGAACGCTGGAGATTTTTAGTGTGGGAAAAAGGGCTTATTCGATTTCCCTGTGGCTGCCCAGAGTGGGGAGAGGTTTTTCCGAGCACAGAAAGAAATCGCGAACAGGCGAACAGGCGTTGGAGAAGGAAGGAGCAGTTAGCAGCCGCCTCTCGCGGGGAGGTGAGGGTTTGCGGGTTGGCGTTTTCATCTGGGCGCGCGGAAAACACAGACGGGAAGGACGCTTCGCCTGCAGTTTCACGGGAGGGGACGGAAGGAAGTTAGTGCACCCTCGATGTCTGGGGGTGGGAGGCAGGGTTTTGTTCAGGGGATTGTTGAGGTGGTTTTTTCCCCTCTTCAGGTCAAAGAAAGAAAAAAAAAAAAGAAACGATGGTCGCAGAACCCACAAAAAGGGTTGTCATGGCAACAAAAGTTTGCGGCCAGGTACTTCCTAACATCCTTTTAGGACCTCAGCGTTGCGAAAGGCAGGATTTGGGCCCTGTGGGATCAGCCCCAGAAACCAACCCCAGCCGGCTCGAGCCTTCCAAATTTCTCACCATCACTGACAAGCCGATAACTATTTTCCAAGCTCCCAGAGAGGAAAACTGTGATTTTCTGAGAGGGATGATCCCTAGCCAACAGCGGCCAAGAGAAAATTGTGGGTTTGTTTCATTTATTTACCCAACAAATGAACCATCCGTGTTTTTAACTAGCAGAGGACTGGGAGCGAAGGTCTTAGCGGGGATTGGGGGGGGGCAAAATGTGTCCTTCTCTGACCTCCCCCACCTGTGCCATTCTCCTCCGAGTCCTTTACTGGGATTCATCTCTGTCCCCGAGGAGACAATCCAGGCTCCCCTGCCAGAAACCTCACTGAGCCTCCAATTCCTCCTCATCTGATCAAGTGGCCTACCCCTCCCCAAGAAATGCCTACCTCAAAGGTGGTGGCTGGGATTCGACAAAATTCTGGAAGTGAGAAATTTTAACAGGTCCTGGTGCATGCTAAGGGCTATGTCGATGTTAGCTGACATTGTTTTTCAATATTTTTCAATTAATAATTTTTTTTTAATTGCTCAGGCTTAAACATCCCCAGTCAACCCTGGATGAGCTACATGGAAATAACTTCGAGTGTCGGGGCCGTGACCTTCAGGCCGAGAGAGACCTCGGACAATTACAAGGCTCAGCTGACCAGCCTGGGCCAGGACACTCCACGGAGGTGGGGACGGCGCCGGTGCCAGGCGTGGCCTTGGAGTTCCAAGCGAGGGAGCTCGGAGGCTGGGATTCCCCACAAACGAGAACCTTGGCGAGAGGCAGAGGTGTTCAGTCCCGAACCTTGGAAACATCTTGAACTTGGAGAAGGATGTGTGGGGACCTCTGCCTCGAAGGGCACAGATGTTTCCGAGGACAAGGCCTCTGTAGGACAGGGCAGAGTTGGGCAGGGAATTTTAGCCAAGATACCTTTTGAAGTTAATTTGTTCTATTGCATCCCACAGTAAAACTTCAAGTCCTGAGTGTGCATCAGAAGTAAGTCTGATGGGATGGAACCAGCTGGGGACGGGATCTACTCAAAGATCACGTATCTTTCAGCACCGTTCGAGTAGAGTTGCAGCAAAGTTCTGTTGGATGCCCCCAGAATCGAGCCAGAGCCAGCAGCACCCCAGGAAGCCTCCTGTGGTCCATCGTCCCAAGACCTCATCCAACATGTATCCTGCAAACGCTTATTGAAAACCTATTGCTATGCACTAGAAACCACCCAGAGGCAGGGGGTGCAGCAGTGAATGAGACCAACCCTGCCTGGCCCTTGCAGAGTGGCATCCTATGCGGAGGGTGGCGACAAGCTTGGGATCAAAGACGGGCCCCAGAAAATGTCAGGTTGTGCCAAGCATGACAGGGAGATAAAGGCAGTGGTGAGATCCAAAGACCACAAGACTTGCCTCCAAAGGGGGGGTCCCAAGGTCTTCTCTGCAGAGGATCATGCCTCGGAAGGCAGGAAGGAGAGTCCCACCAAAGCCACTGGGGAGCCAGCCAGGGGAACTATGGGGCCTGGAAGGGCACCCCAGGTGGGGGGGAGCTAGTGCAAAGGGCTGGAGCTCCTGGGTTTACACCCTCACCCCTCTGTCCTTTAAGCCGCTTAGGCCAATCGCTCATTCAGGGCAAACTATGAGTTGGCGTTGTCTCCCGTCTACCCTTGAGTACACACACATGCCATGTCCATAGGGGAGACTATGCATGCCTGGGGGAGCTATAACCTTGGGGACAGAGGTCAATTCACTCAGGAGGGTCCCCACACCTGCCCGTGGAGCAGCACCCCTTTAAAGGGACCGGATCTTGCCGGCAGGCACCACCCTCAATCCCCTGAGCCCTGCCGTTGCCTAGCTGTCTGCCTTGGGACACTCCAGCCCTGCTGCCTCCGAGGGCAGAGAAAAGGGGTAGCAGGCAGGGGCTTCGATGTGGCTTCTGAAAAGTCAGCCCCCGTTCTGATCGCAGCCTTGGGCTAAGCTAAGCCCCTCGGACTCCACAACCTGGAGTTCGCCGATGGTCCATGCTTTCCCGCCTGCTCCGTTCTCCCCAGTCGCGTCCCTCCCCGGTGAGGGCCAGGGCACGGGGGCTCGCTGGCTTCTGCAGATGGGGGTGTCTCTGGGCGGGTCAGCTCCCCGGGGACCCGCGGGACTCCCCCCACTTCCCACTCCCGTCTGGGAGGTGCGGTGCGGTTGAAGGTGGGGGTAGAAGAATGACCCCTCGGCTCCTGGCTTTGAGAATCTGCGGTGGGAGGGGTGGCTCGTAGCAGGAGTCCCTGCACCACCGCCACCCCAGAGGCGCCCAGGGTGGGTGCGGGTGCCAGTACCCGGGACAGGAAGAAGAGGAGGGGGCAAGCACGGAGATGAGTTCGGGCGCGGAGAGGAACGCGCGCCCCTCCGAGCGGCCGCTGGGGTGGGTGCCGGAACACGCACCTTCCCGGTGCGCGGCAACGTCCCCAAAGCAGCCAGCGGGCGTTCGCCACGGGCGGACCGCTGCCTCGAACCTCAAACGCGGGGCGTCCGGGACGCCCAACATTCTGGCCCCGGACCTTGCGAACGCGCGGCCCCCGGCCCGAACGTCCCCAGCCCCGCCGAGCGCCGGGATCCGTGTCGCGGCGGCGGCGCGGGGCCCCTCGCCCTGCCGGGAGAGGGAGCGCGGGTTGGGGCTCGGCCGCGGGGGCCGCGCAGCCCGGGGGAGCCGGAGCCGAGCCCGCGGGCGCCGCCGCTCACTCACCGAGCCCGCCGAGCTCCTCCTCGCACGAGTACCAGATGCCGGTGTGGAAATTCCTGAAGAGGAAGCGGTCGTCGCCGGTCTCCCAGCTGTAGAGCGCGCCGCCAGGGGGGCCGTTCCCCGCGGCGGCGGCGGGGGCGGCGGTGCCGTTGGCCGTGGCGTTGGCGCCCGAGTTGGGGCAGTTGGCGCGCCCGCCCTGGCCACAGCCGGGCTTGGGCACCCGCTGCGTGCCCTGGCACCAGTGCGTGGTGAGGAAGGCGGTGGTGGCGAAGAGCAGCGCCAGCAGGTTCAGGGCCACGGCCAGGAGCGCTCGGCCGCGGCGGCTCGTCTTCATGCCGCCCGCGCCGCCGGGACCGCGCCGCCGGGAGCTCCGCGCGAAGTTGGCAGCCGGCGCCCGCGTCAGCGGCCGCTGCCTGCCGCGCCCCGGGGCTGGGGCGCTGCGATCGGCGCGGCGGACGCGGCGCGGGCCATGGCCCCGGGTGGGGCGCGGCGCGGGAGCGCGGGGGCGCGGGGCGGGCGGCGGCGGCGGAGCGGCTCCGGCGCGCCCGGAGCCCGGAGCGCGAGTGCACCTCGGCGAGGAGCCGCTGGCGCCTGGCAGCGGCCACGGCGCAGGGACGCGCGCCCCTCCGTGGGGAGACACCTGCAGGCGGCCGGCGACACTGTTCCGGCGCCCGCCCGCACGGGGAGAGGGGGCGCCCGCGCGGGCGCGGGTGGGGGACTGGGAGAGAAGGGACGCCCCGAAAGAGACCCTCGCCCGAGTGGAGGGGCTGAGAAGCAAGGACGGTGCTAGGCGCTCCCAGAGAGGGATCCCCACAGCTGGACGTGGGGCAACAGAAGCGGCCGGAGGGGGCATCTCACGTGAGACCCAAAGAGGCCCTGCCCAGGGGAGACTGGGGCAAGCCTGCTGGGGCTCCCCAGGAGGGGCACAGACCAGCAGAACGCTCTTCCAGAAGGGGTCCCAGAAAGGAGCCCCACGCCAGACCCTGAGAAAGGAGCTCTCCAAAGGGTGGGAGCTGCAGAGCCCGCAGGGCTGCCGGTCAGGAGCTGCAGGGCCCGCGGGAAGGGACGCCTCATGATGGACCTGGAGTTGCAGGAATGGTCAGGGGGTTCCCTACCGGGAACGCAGGGTTGTAGATTTGAAAGGTTTGTCTACCCCCGGGGGTCACCTCCAGTGTCTGAGAAGGGGTCACCTCCAGCGTCTGGGAAGAGCTCCCGTCCAAGGACGAAGCAGTCATTTGTGCTCTCTGTCATGGCATGGAACAGCAGGAAGAGTGGCAAAGACGTAGCCCTACAGGGGGGCAAGTGTTGGGACAAACGGCTTCTGCATGCAGGTTCTCGCCACCCTCCCTCCAAGATCCTGAACAGCATGACCCAATGACCCCAGGAGGCCCCAGGCCAGACACAATATTGTTGTGGGGTACCCTGCAGGGGCTGCCAACCTGAAATCTTCAAGGTTGGGGAGGACAGAAGGGTCAGGCATACTGACTTTGGGATCAGGCAAACCTGGGGTTTGAGCAGCTATGTGGCTTTGAACAAGTCACTTACCCTCTCTGAGCCTCAATTTCCATAACTATAAAAAGGGGAGAAATATACGCAGGAGTCCTCAAACTTTTTAAACAGGGGCCAGTTCACTGTCCCTCAGACTGTTGGAGGGCCATTGGAGAGTGCGGTGCGCATTCCACACATGCGCACTGTGGGCCCGGGACAAGTTGGCTGCTAAGCAGGACAGGCAGCAGCCGCAAAAACACCCTGCAAGCTGGATAAATGTCCTTGGAGGGCCGCAGGTGGCCTGTGGGCGTAGTTTGAAGACCCCTGCCTCAGAGGTATATCACACTGGCCTGCTATAATGAGATCGTGCCTGTAGAAAACATTTAGCACATGCTAGACTCAATAAACGCTAGCCGCTATTATTAACATCTGAACAAGATAAGTTGGCCAAATTCACACAAACCTTTTTAGGCGCTCTTGTGCCCAGTGAGAACTGTGTCCCCCTCATCCCCACCTCTGCTCTAAGATGACCATGTTCCCTGAACTCCCCTCACACTGCACAGCGCAGAGTGCCCGGATGCCCAAGATATGCAACAATTAATTGCATGTTGATTGCAAGAGCTAATTTGAATTCTGCCCAAGCTGAGAACTGTTCCAACAACCCCTGGCTTGCCAAGTGGCAGGGCTTGCAGAATTCAAGGTTAACAGAGTATGAATTGCCTTACTCCTGTGGGTGAGCCCATGCTCGCTGTCAGCTGCGGCTACTCTGCCCGGGGGTAGGTGAGAGTAAAGCGTTGTGGCCAGTGTGCCCGGCGGGAGCCCACATGAAGGATGGCCAGGGGTCTCCGGCCTTGCTTATTAAAGCCCTTCTCTGGCTCCAGGCAACAGGTTCCCAACTATTTTGAGGGAAAGGACTTCCGTGTAATAATGGTGACATTGAGGACGTTGGTTGACAGAGGAAATGTATCATGGCCAAACAGCTACAAGGAACCCAGTAGCACTTTTAAACAGGCACACAACATTCATCACAAGAGTGTGTGAATGCCATTGAAAACCAGTCCCTCCGTGTGTGCTCTAGCAGGTGCTTTTCTGGGCTTAAGACTGTGGTTGGTGCGCACATGTGTGGGGCTCGGGGGCCCTACTGGCTGGGAACCCTGTCCGGGGCGTCCAGAGCCAGGAGAGCCCAGGTGAACTACGTCTCAGGGACCACACTCTTTTAAGAAACACCCAGAGGGATTTGACATTTCTGTCCACTCACTGAGCACCCGCTGAACGCTCGGCACCGGGGAGAAGTGAGAACACGAACAACAACGTTAACAAGAAGGAACGCTGGCGAGCGCGCAGGGGTAAGGGCCGGGGAGGAAGCTAAAGCAGCGAGGGAGGGAAGAGGGGGAGACTCAAAGAGGGCCTCCCTGAAAAGGTGACAGCAGAGCAAAGACCTGAAGGAGACACAGGAGCAGGCCACGAGGAGATCCGGGGGAGAAAGTTCCAGGCAGGGACAGCCAGGCGGAAGCCCTGCCTGGCCCTGGGTGGGGAGGGGTAACTGCGGGGCGGCATGGCCAGAGCTGGGTGAGCGAGGGGTGCTGGGGGCGACAGATCACAGGTCTGCGTAGCCCCTACCGGGCCTGGGGCCTTCACTCTGACCAGGCAGAAGCCGGTGGAGGGTCCCTGCAGAGGGCGCCACGTCTGGCTTAGGGCCAGATGGGGCCACCCTGGCTGCCGCAGGGAGGAGGGCAGAAGCAGGGAGACCAGCCTGCGGGCTGGCGGGGACCCTGGCGCGAGATGCCGGGGCTCAGACCAGGGTGGTGGCGGCGGCGGCGGCGGTGGAGAGTCCGGACTGGCTTTCAAGGCAGATGCAGCAGGATTTGCTCAAGGACGGGACGTGGGGTGGGAGAGAAGTAGGACTCCCCGGTGTCCAGAGAGCTCCTGCAGGGACGGGGCTGCTGCATGGAACGGAAGCAGATCTGCCACTTAGGGTGTCTACGCAGCCTTCCTGAAGCGAATCCAAACTCATCAGCAAGCCCCTCAGATAGGATGGGGACTTTTTTTTATCCCAAATAGTCATATAGTTGGATTTGCCCTGGGCATGGACAAGGGTGGGCAGGGGCTAAGATTTGTTTAGGAGGCCACAAATTGGGGCCCAAGGCTCTGGCAGCCTCTCTTTGACCCACAACTATCAGCCAAGGCCCCACAGAAGCCTCCTGTGTCCCTGGTGTCCCCTAGCCATCCCCGCCCCGCACTTGCAGCCAGAGAGAGCAGCCACGTGTGCCTCTGCTTAACCCCCTCTGAGGCTCAGCGCCTGTCCCGCCAGGTCGCTCTGCAGTTCCCGACCGCCCAATGCTCGGACTGAGCCCAGGCCTCTGCCTGGAAGGTCCTCGCTGTCCTCACCCTGGTGTCACCCTTCAGGGCACCCACCCAAACCTCACTGCCACTGCCGAGCCGCCCTGACCCACCACCACGCCCCGGCAGTCGGTCACCCCTCCACTGGTCTTCGATGGCAGTGAGTCCCTCTGAACTGGGATGTCACAGCTGTCTCCCCACACATCTGGGGGCCCCTCCAGCTTGTCCCTGCTGGCACCCTGCCCGCCACATTTGGCCCGTAAGCATGTTTTGTTCGTCCTGGATGGAGTTGGCCTCCACCGCTCGTTAAATTTTCATGAGTTGCCAACATTCCAGAATCATGCGATTGCACATCAACATGTAGATTCCAGCTTCTCTTGCATAATCAAATGACCTGGCGACGCTGGGCCCGAGTCTTTGCCTGGCTACCGCTGGTGAGCGCACCTGTACAGGGGCAGACGGGCCCTCCCGGCATTAAGGAAGGACACCTGTCCAGCCCCTGGGAGCATTTGAATTTGAGAACCTGCTATTAAAGCCCAAAACGTTCTTGGTAAAACCAACGTATGATGCTGAAAGTCAGGTGACAATTACCCTCAGGAGGTGGAATAGGGCGTGGGGGGGGGGTCATGAGGGGGACTTCTGGGGGCCGGTCACATGAGCACATTCAGGTTCTGAAATCTCATGGAGCTATACAGTTGGAAATTGTGTATTTCTTTCTGCTCCATGAAATTTACCAGAAAAACTGTTGCCATTAATGATGAAGTTCATATTTTTCAGGAAATGTGAATCTGTTTTGAAGGGCCGTGTCCCAGATGCATTTCGCTCTCCACTTTTCCTTGTGGTCCGCTGCTACAAAGACATGCACTAGCTTTGGGGCTTCCTAAGTCACTTCCTGTTTCCTAAACCTTCAAAACAGAGCTTGGGAAAACCGAACATCCCAGCCTCGTCCTAATTATAGAAGGAGATTAGCCAATTTCCAATGATCAGGGAGGTCTTTTAAACATTGACTCCCAAGGTATCGAGGCTTAATGCCCATTTTACTACCCTGGTTAACCCATCGCTCTGGGTTTTCCCGGCAAAGCTGGACTCACAGCACTGGTGCGTTTACGAGATTGCTCTCTGGCGGCTGGTCCCAGGGGAGAAAGGCCGTGGGGCTGTGTGCAATCAAAGACACCCCAGGGGGTAGATTCTCCCTGGCAGAAAGAAACCAGCTTCATCAGAACATGATCAGCAGGAGCTCAGCGTGTTCTTTGAAACTGTCCTAGCTCTTTGGCACTCATCAGAAGTATTCATTGGGCCCCTGCTCTGCGCTGGGCATTCAGTGAACCAGACAGACCAGGCCGGTTCCTTCATGGGGCTTCCATTCTAGAAGGGAAGACAGCAATAAACAAGGAAGCAGCTAATCAATCCCATAATCGCAGATGGTGGTGCATGCAGGGGAGGGAGGGAAAGGGAATCCCTGGGAAGAGATCGTCACACACCACGTGCGAATGCGCCATCCGCACATCGCAGTGTGCCCCGTAAGTATGCAGAATTGTTGTGTGTCAATTGTAAACTTTAAAAATTACTTAATAAT